AGAATTGATCATGAAATTATAAGTTGGCCGGTGCAGCGAGCACTCAAAGAAATGAGGGACATTCTTTCTAAATTACGATTCAGTTTTTGCCCTGGCGTGGGTCTTCCTGACCCAGCTTTGTCCAATAAAATGGCTGATTTGTGGTGCTATATACGCTTGCTGCTCGTGCCGTGGTTAGGAAAGTGTCACTATTTAGACGAATTACCCCTTTATTTTTCTCACTGCAGGTTGTTCCTGATGTTTGCGGTCAGGTCTGGTGAGCTACACAAGCTTTTAATTAATCACCGTTGCAATTTGACTGATTATGTTCATCAGGTATTCTACTTTTGCGTGTAATATTCATGAAGATATGGTTTCCATTGGTACTTGTAATACTTGCGGTACATAAACTGCAGTTATCAATAGCATTTTAAAAATAATTAGTAATGATATGAACAATTATATCCCATAACTTTTCCAATTAGCTTTACCACTAATATTTCCACACGAATATCTGCTTAATGATTGATTAATTATTATCGCTTGTATTACCATAATTGGGAGTAAGAAAAACATTTATGTCTAATGACTGAACATCACCTTAGATGTGTATAAGCGTGATGTCATTCAAATCTATCTTCAACGTTATTTAAAATAGATGAGTGGCATCAGCCAAGTTGAAACCGAACCTGTAAACTCAAATAAATCTAGAAGAAATTTATTTTTAAAATAATTTTTCGACTCGGTCTTTTTTCCATTGAAATCTTGCAAATATTGCTTTAATTTTTTGCAACTTATGCCTTTTTCGTCTACATTTGGCTGCTGAAATTTTTTATCAGAAGTTGTATTTATTGAGAAGATAGCTTTGTGCAGGCTTTCATTAAAATGAAATTGTAAATAATATCGTACCTTATGTATAGTAAACACCTAATACATCATGCTTCTACCTGTTATGGTTTGTAATTAATATCACATAATATTTGAAGATTTTCTAAATAAGAAATATGTCCTTGCTTTTAGATAGTTCAAGCGAGAAATAATCTTTTTTGAAGAATAATCAAGAATAATTAAGTAAACAAACACGTTGAAATCTGAATGAATAATTACGATAACTCGAATACCTCGGCAACAGAGAGCGTGAGCACAGGACGCGAGTGTGGGACTCCTGGTGCGTATTGATCTGTGCGTGACGTGAGCGTCGTGCGTACGCAGCGGCGTATGTAGGAACACAGTGCATGCGTTGAACTACCTAGACGTATGCAGTGACTACCTAGGCTTATGCAGTGGATTACCTAGACGTATGTAGTGGACTACCTAGACGTATGTAATGGACTACCTAGACGTATGTAATGGACTACCTAGACGTATGTAGTGGACTACCTAGACGTAAGCAGTGAACTACCTAGACGTATGCAGTGAACTATCTAGACATATGCAGTGAACTACCTAGCTAGACGTATGCAGTGAACTACCTAGACGTAAGCAGTGAACTACCTAGACGTATGCAGTGAACTACCTAGACGTATGCAGTGAACTACCTAGCTAGACGTATGCAGTGAACTACCTAGCTAGACGTATGCAGTGAACTACCTAGACGTAAGAAGAGAACTACTAGATACTAAGTTTACAAAAAAGATAGTGTTGCTATACAGTTACATGAAATATTACGTTCATTCATAAATTAATAACCGGTCATGAGGAAGCGTGGCTAGACTTACTGAATATTTTATTTGATTGCGCAAAACGAACAAATTAAAGTAAAGCTCGACGCTTCAGTCCTGCCCTCATATCCTGCCGTCTAACCGAGCCTCAGCACGAACTGGCTCGGTAAATGATCAAGCAGGTCCCTTAAATAATATAATTATAATAATCATAGTAATAATAATCATAGTCTGCATGAGCTGACCATGGTTATGTTGATGTGAATGAAAATCTCAGTTCAACTTGGAGCGAAGATGAATGATTGAAGCCATTCAATGGATAAATAAAAAACCTTTATCAATCACAAACTTTCCATAGGAGAGAGTCTGAATTTTGATTTGCAGTGAATGACCTACACAAGGATAAAAAGGTCATCGATAATAGGACAAAGTCTTCCTCATTTGTATGAGTGGAGAGTCGATGCATCCACCACCAATGAGCTTCGCAGGCGCCGCTTATTACGTGAAGTGCAGGAGTGAACCTGGCGTGCTGTGATGGTGGGTGGTTATGAGGTGTCTGTGATGTGATGTGTCTGTGATGCGATGTGTCTGTGATGAGTATAACTGTGATGTGTCTGTGATGTGATGTGTCTGTGATGTGATGTGCCTGTGATGTGATGTGTCTGTGATGTGATGTGTCTGTGAAGTGATGTGTCTGTGATGTGATGTGTCTGTGATNTATGCTGAGGTGATGTAGTCATATGCTGAGGTGATGTAGTCATATGCTGAGGTGATGTAGTCATATGCTGAGGTGATGTAGTCATATGCTGAGGTGATGTAGTCATATGCTGAGGTGATGTAGTCATATGCTGAGGTGATGTAGTCATATGCTGAGGTGATGTAGTCATATGCTGAGGTGATGTAGTCATATGCTGAGGTGATGTAGTCATATGCTGAGGTGATGTAGTCATATGCTGAGGTGATGTAGTCATATGCTGAGGTGATGTAGTCATATGCTGAAGTGATGTTCGTGCAGCGATGTCGTCCCTCGTCATTTTATTTAGCAATGTCATATATTACACTAGATTCTGAATACAAACAACCAAAATTAAGATGTTAACGCAAGTAGACATAAATAAATTAAATTTCATGTTTATATTCGTGGAAATATTTATGACGCCATTAATATAATGCCGAATCTATTGGCCGTGACAGGCGTTGTGTCGCATCTTCTTTATCGAACCTTGAATTATCGCAATCAATAAACTGGTTGTTGGCTTTCTTTGAGCCACGGCGCACCATATTGAAAATTAGAATAGTTTTAGTACCGGCCGACAGTCGGCCGCACATAAACCACCTCAAAACCACCTCAAAACCACCTGTGATTATCAGTTTAAGGAATTCGGGTTCCACAGTGCGGTGCATGGGCCAAATTTCTGCCTCAACTGCCATGTTTTATACAAGCCTGATAAGCCGCCTGTGCAGGCGACCACAAAGCTGGACAGATGGCGCTGTGAATAACACAGTGAATGTATACGATTTCTCATTCAGGCGTGGCAGTACACAGTGAATGTATAATGCGTCTTATTTAGGTGTGGCAACGTGCAGTTCGATTTTCTTTTTCAAGGGTATAGAGAAATTTTTCAGACATGAAAACATAAATAAAGTTTTTCCAAAAGAAGAATGCGTAGAACAAATTAGTTTGACCTCGTGTAAATATTTTACAGCTTGCAAGCTTGAGCGTGGCATGAATTAACTAATAAAAAAATTTACTAGACAGTAATTTACTATAAGACTATTTTGGCAATAAATCAAAATCCAGGTTAGTTTTTATAATTTGAGTTTTTATTCTGCTTCAGAATTAATTACATTGTTTTTTTTTGCGCTTGTATTCACCTCGATAGTTAAGGCAAACTTCGACGACAGCAGCAGATTGCAATAAGTCAAGGTCAGGGTTAGAAAGTTGTCAGGTTAATAAAGTTAGTTCGTTAAGTTGATCAAACTATGCCGACGTGCCTGGAAGTTAGGGAAAACTTTTCCAATAGAGGTTTGCTGGAACTCGAGCCGCTTCCGCTATTGATATTGAAGTGTACAGCAGGTTTTATTGAAGTGTTTGGCTTATGTCAAAAATATAACATTACACAAAAATATGTCTACAGAAACGAGTATTCAATATTTCACAGATAGTTAAATTTCTCAACATTACGATTTCAAATTACTTGCTTTTCTAGATATGCTTATTATTTTTTCAGGAATAAGTATTCTGAACGATTGAGCAGTCAGGCTACATATGTAATGTAGCCCGCGTATTCCCTGCAAGTGACTTCGCTTCTTAACAAGTTCGGTCCGCTACGTCAATGGCTTACAACTGTCCTCTACATCAATGGCTTACAAATGTCCGCTACAACAATGGCTTACAATACTGTTCGCTACAACAATGACTCACTACTGTCTGCTACATTAATGGCTTGCAACTGTTCGCTACAACATTGGCTTACAATACTGTTCGCTACAACATTGGCTTACAATAATGTTCGCTACAACAATGACTAACAACTGTCCGCTACAACAACGGCTTGCCACTGTTCACGCTACAACAATGACTTACAACTGTCCGCTACAACAACGGCTTGCCACTGTCCGCTACAACAAAGACCACCATAAGCAGGTGTAATCACTTTCTGTACAGCAACGTACGATGCTAATCACCCCGCCTTTGATTCTAAACGAGCCTGGCATTGCTGGCTGCATTTACGTTATGGGGACTTGCTTAGGCTAAGCGCTTGGTAAGGTAAGTGATTGCTGATTTAGGCGCTGGTCGAGTTCAGTTCGTTGTATTTATCAAATGGTGAACTACTGAAAGAACTTTGTTAATTAGTTAATTAGTTCTTATTTTTTCCAGTTCCAGTTGTTTTTCCAGTGAAGTTTTATTTGATTACTTTGGCTGACATTATATTTCACTTAAATCAGAAAAAGGAAAGAACATTTTTAATGTACTTGCATAATTTTTATCGTGAATTTTATTGGAAAATACGATATAAAATAGCGTGGTAATTTTTGTCTTAAATGAATGAAATTGTTTAATGAATTATTATTTCGTACAAATAATATTGATTAATAGTTTACCCAACTTCTGACTGAAGTTTTTTTTTACAAAATGTAAAAAATTTAATCGTAAAGAAAAAACTCGGAATATAAACTTATATTACTTTTTGCTTAATTTTTTGTCCTATTAAATTTCATGTAATATGAGGCTCAAACAATCATTTGACATTTATACCTTACTCATACATGCAACTATGCATCAATGATATCGGAATTATATAGTACATTTACACATTTATTTATATAGTAAAAATTAAATAATTAATGCCAGCTTACCTGCAGAGAAGCAGAGCAGGGAGACGGTCCCTGCAAGCAGCAGCAGTTTTGGGTTTGCCGTCATTTCCAAAATACGTCGAAGCTATTTTTATTTTTAACGGTAATTTTAGGGGCAAATATGGACGGCGTCAATCGCACGTTTCCTAGGGTTATCTTTGCTTTATATTGGGCTTTTGCTTTTTACAGAATTTATTTCCTGATAGGACTCAAACCTTCTCAATTTGTTTATTAGGAAGAAAATTAGTTACTCTGCGAGGAAAAAATTGCGACACAATCAGAGCAATTTAATTACGAAATCAACTCCATAGAAACATCAAAATTATATTAATAACGTTGAGTGAATTGGTTGCCTAACTGGCATCTAATATTTCAAATTCAACATAAAGTTCTGTATTTCAAATTATAGCAGCAGTATAGCTACAATCTATCTTCTATTGCTATGTTTGACGAATTTAGCTTTCAATTCAGTGCAAAAACTTATCACAGTTTCTACAGCGTGATAAGTGTAATTCAATAAAATTCTCAAGGGAATCCACTAAATGTTTAAAAAAATCATGTAAGCTTTTTATGGGGAAGAAAAATTGAACGACTATTCCGACCTGAGATTTACTCAACTGTTAATGAATGTTTACAAAAATTTTCAACTTTTTTACTTCAGGTCAAGCAAAGAAGAAATGATCAAGAGTCCTGATGGTCTGCACGAAATTTGAAATGATAGCGATCAAAATATTACGTGGCTGTTCAGATTTGCCGCCGAAACCGAGCTCAAAACACGAATTATTTTTCTAATGCATATTTATAGAGCAGCACGATGCTTGAGACATGATAAAGCAATAAATCTCGAACAACTGGGAACAATAATGCTTGCTTGGACGACCGGTGCCCGGCACGCAGACTTATAACACAACCTCTTCCTACCGCGGCTTCGCGCCGAGTGAGGGAAACGAGACAATCCGAGGGGATTAGCGTGGTGATGACGCGGTCACCTGGATGGTGAATGGTTGGGACTTGTTAACCGTCGGCCCTTTGTTTGAAGCCCGTTTCTCAAGAGGCTTATTCATATTTAATGTACTTCCAAATTATTTCCTATCTGTCCTAATATTTTCTAATTGCTTATCACATGAAAAGGTGAAATTACGAAATCAAATAAAGACCACTATTATTCTTAAAACTGTCTTTTTAAATAACTCGCTTTGCTGCCGCATGGATCAATATATCAAAACACATACTTTTTTGAAAGACAAGATCGTAAAAAATTGCAGCCGAAATTCTTGCGATCCTAAGTTTAATCATGTACACGTTTGAGCGAAGGAGTCAAGGTTGAAATCATCTTCCTTGACCTCTCGTGTCAAGAACCTTATTTTTCCGAGGAAACACCACGCTGAGGGCAGTAGGTCACAGCTGCTTTTCGATTCTTTCTGTAACACGCGAGCCCTAGATCTGCCTTAAACAAATTGTACCTATAATAGTTCTTCAAATCTTTATCATCTGATTGATTAGTGCATCGAAGTCAAGGAGATTTTGCTCTCGTGATGCAAAATAATTTATGTTAAGTATCATGTGTTACATCTCTTGCATTAAAAAAATTAGGTTTTTACAAAAGAAATTGCGGTATCGGATTGGAAGCATTAAAAAAATTTCTCTGTGTTATGGTTAATTAATTTTCACAAGAAAATTTCATAATTGGATTTAGCGGTCTATTCTTATCCACGTTGCCAAAGGCCATTTTATACAACTATGTATTTCATACCGGAAATTTAATGAAGTAGAAGACACCAAAACTCTTTTATTCATATACACACTGAAAATTCCTTGATTTCAGATTTTTACTTGTTTTACGCGTTAATAAAGTTTGTTACTCTGCACCATACCTGATTACAATCCTGTGTTTGCAGCACACTTGATAATGAGCAAGATCAGTGCCCTGAAATGTGTTCTTTGATTAATGATAGTGAATGAAAGATTCTGATAAAATTAATTCTGATCATTTGTCGACCCTATTGAAAATCACAATTAAATATAAGTACTTTATTATATCAAATATGGTTTAAAATTATTTAATTATTTAATGTAAAACCCTAAAACTTGTCGGAAGTTATGTGAATTATCTAATAACAATACTGGAAATAAAAATAGGAGGCACCATTAATTCGTCATCACCCATAATAATGTATAGTGATAAATTGTTGGAATAAGACACAATATGATATTACTTTTAAGTAAGATTATCGAAGCTCGTGAAACACTGTTAAATTACATGAAATATGAACAATAATTGCAGCTCAGCAAATATCTTTTGACTCAGAACTGTTAAAAACATTTCAAGTTTTGCATTATTTAACTAAACGCATCCACTTCATGACCTATAATGACTTAATTTCAACACTTGACACCTGATGACACGGATCCCGTTAAGCGATTCCCATCACTTCACTCAAGTCAAGATTTGACTATGTCATTATTTGAATACTGGATAATTTAAAAATTAATGGCTTTCATGAACTTTCAACTTGGTTAAAATGAAATGAATAATGTCGCTATTGAAATTAACGCTTTAAGTTGGCTGCTTATAGTTTACAGAATTCATGCCGTTCATAAAACTTGAGTCATCATGAATTTTCTAACGGAATAATGAAAGTTTTTCTGTCTAAAAATATCGATTGTTGGACAAAATAATTACGGGCCAACTAACACATCGCTTCATACGCCTGAATTAATTTGTTTGACTAGGCCAGTATGAATGAGAATCATGGCATGGTGAACGTTAAATTGTTCATTTGTTGGATCTGCCTTCACCACCATGGTGAGTGAGATGCTGAGTCTCTCAAATACGTCTAATTGAATCAAACTAATTGGTTAGCTAAATGAAATATGTTTCTGAAGTAGGAAAAAAATTCGAGAAATATTTTAGTTGGGATTGAGGTTTTAAAACCAATATGGAACGTTTTTTTGTTTTTTATAGTCCTTTTTGGTACGAAATTCTTGCAGGCATTCATTATTCGCTTGCAACATTCAGTCGAGTACTTCTAACATGTCGACGGCTTATATATATATCAATATAAATGGGCAGCGCTACTTTGAAATATAACGGTCGCTACCGCTACCGCTACATGCTCTAAATGTAGCGGGCGCTACTGCTACCGCTACAATTGCTTAAATGTAGCGCCGCTACCGCTACCGCTACAATTGCTTAAATGTAGCGCCGCTACCGCTACCGCTACTGAAAATGTAGCGGCCGCTATATAGTAGCGCGCTACTGCCCACCTCTGGTAACAACTAACATGTTGACACTAGTAACAGGCTGCATGAGATTAACATCATTACACCGAAATATTTCGTACAGTTTTATTCTGTAATTTATATTATGTATGTATCATGCTGGTTTTTAAATAATATTTAATACTATTAAGTAAAATCTAAAGGCTTTATCTATAGATATAGCGGTAGCGCTGTAGCGGTAAAACCTCGTAGCGCTACTTAAATATATAGCGGGCGCTACCGCTACCGCTACAGTTGCTTAAATGTAGCGCCTCTACCGCTACCGCTACTGAAAATGTAGCGGCCGCTACATGTAGTGCGCTTCTGCCCACCTCTGGGTATATAAATATATATGTTAAGGACTGCATACGCTTCTGGTCATGAATCCTGCCATTCGTTGTCAATTTGCCCGATATGTTCTATAGTAATAATTAAAATCACTCAGAGTTATCATTGTATTTTTTGCGCACTGATATGCATCAGCCGCCAACGTGAAGGTATGCAGATGCCATCGGGTAACTTCTGGCGGAGAGATAAGTAGCCAGTGAGTCAAAAAGTATCAATATTTCGTGATTAATAGCCTAAATTGTTTTCAGAAAATAATCTTTATGAAGGAGGCAGGTTATCTGCATAGGTCAGGTTCATTGTTGTAATTCGCAGGCATTTAAGTAATATCCAAATGAGCGGTGGTCATAACGCTCAGCCAAACTATGACGTCTTCCGGCCGGTCTGTGCCCAAGGGACTGGCAGTTTAGACAGGAATAAACGAGGCTGTAAAGTAAGATGATATAAGCGTTTGATTTATTGCCTACATGACAATTTACCCTTCGTATTATGTTTCTAAAAGCAGACACTGATGGATTTTTCCAAGTCTGAGATCGTTATCACTACAATAACACAAATAATAACATTTAGAGAATCAATAACTTCAATTTTTTGCCACTCGTGCTAAGTGTTCAACTTCGATTCATGTTTCACAAATTACAATAACCAGAACTGATCATGACATACGCCACCGAGTGCAGAATTTTTTTATGAATTAGAATATTTAGGATTAGAATAACTTAGTTTGTAAATGCCCGGGAAATTTTAAAGCTGGCTGCTGAGTTCAATTTCACTCTTCAGTTACTGAGTCAAAGGTGTACAATTACTCTGAGAATTAATCGAGCCAAAATTATTGTGATTGGGTTGAGTATTTCTAGACCAGACAGCCGCTCGAGCGCCGCTAAGAAGCCAATCAAATTATCTCGCCTGGGCACCACAGGCGGTCCGGTGCTACCCGCTAGTGAAGTGATCTTTTTATAACGGAAGTAACCAACAGAATATACATTTCTGTACGAGGCATACATTAATCTTTGGATAGAGTTTTATGAGCCAGCGGAAGAAAAACAAAGTAAAAATATGTCATGAGGGTTGTTACAATTATTTTTCTATAACAAAACCAGCCAAAATGATTCAGAAAATCAGAAAAAATTTACAGGAGTGTGACAAATTTTAATTTTGTTAAGCAAGGAAATGGAGACGTATCTATAATTCAATTTCAAGAATTTTCCGTCATCTCCTACTTTGTTCATTAAATTTTTGCTGCACCAGAAGCACTGGGATAAAAAGTAGGTTTACTGATAATGTCAGCTAAAAACGTTGTCAATTCCTGGAAACGAACGTTGCTGTATCATCGGTACAAATTCCTATCAATCCTAAGGACTAAGTTGTTCCAATCGAGTCCTGTTTTTCGATATAATCTTATGTCTTCTTTAGGTTTTATGTCTGTCTTAGAATTTTGACTTATAAAATGATTTTATTCATTTTTAGTTTACCGAACTGATGATGGAGCTGGACTCCGAAACGTTTTCAATATCGCTATGGTGAATTTGATTGGCGTTTTCTTTGCTTTTAAATTACTTCCGTATCAATCAGCGGTCACGCCGCCTTCGTTAACTGTACGACAAAATCCGCGGAGCTGCTATTCTCGAAGTCAGGATGCTACAGCAACCAGAAGTTAACAAATAGGTTGGTTTGTTAGCTCACAAAAGCAGTTGGCAGGCGGAGAAAAATTGAAATCGCGTGTATATACTGAATTAGGATCAATTTTTTGCAATCCAGAAATAAAGCTATAGTTATTTTAATATGCGACTAATTCACGAGTGGTACTGTAGATTTTTTAAAATATTTTAAAGCCATAATAAACTTATGTTAATATGATACAAACTTTGAACGAATATTAACAGCTTAAAACGCAATTAAAATGGCTTACAACAATAAAGCTTATCCAATTTATTGCTGAACCGTTTGATCATGTTCGTTTTACGATTTAATTGTTTGATAATGATTGATTGATCAACTTGGTCATAAAAATAATATGCTTTTAGAAATTACTTTTTAAAGACAACACTTTTAAAGAATACAGTGTATCCGATATTATGCATCTACAAATGAATTTCTAATTTTATCTCCTCCTTCTCCCACCAATTTTTAATTTTTTTAATATATGAAAAAAATTAAATTTTCAAAATTGAATTAATGTCAGTCAATTTGTAAATTGATTCATGCATTGTCTCTAACTTTACGCAAATGTGCAAAATTTCAGATCGATTGGAGAGGTAGAAGTGTATTAAATATCGATTATTAGATTTGTAGCAGACAGACAATTAAACAAACAAACAAGCAAACAACAAGAAGCGAAGTTAAAGAGAAGTGTTGTAACAAAGGTCATTTGGTGCGAGGCGTATGTAATTTACAAATATTCCTATGAAATTAATAGCAACATCAAAACTAGAAATAAATTTTAAAAGTCACTCACTTCAACGTTTCATTAAGTATTCTATGTCTTGATTAATAATAATAATAGTTTAGTTAGGTTATATTAATTTGATTAGTTACTATTAATTAATTAAATTACTAATTGTTATTTAATTAGTATTATTGCGTTAATAATAGAACTGGTGGTCTGGTATAAACGACTCGGAAAATATGCAGCGAATGCTGTCTAATTTTTCCAAGAAAAGTCAATCAAGCTGAAAATTTGTTCCAGTCCTGCGTTGTTTAAGCAAATGGTTACGTTCAAATGTACATTTGACCGCAGGGTTCACACTTATTTCATGTTATCAACTTACATACGTGTTGTGTACCTATTGTGGCAAATATCATACTCTTCGCTATGATATATGAACGAGGCTGCCAATCAAATTGTTTATGAGGCAATTAAAATATTTGCTGCGAAGTTGATTTTTTACTGTACACTCATAGCTGGTTTAAAAAAATAATATACTTAATATAAAAAGCTTTGAGATTGCTAGATTTGAAGAAAATCTTAAGTGCATTTTCAAACCAATTAATAAATATATACTTTTCCTCCAATACTTTGCGATAACTATAGAGTGTTGCTCTCAAATATTACTGAAAAAAAAAATTCTGTGAAACACTGTTTCAAGAATAGTAGACATAGCACATAATGCTGTCTAATAAACACTGTTTCAACTCCTTTAGTAGACATAAGCAATATTTTTAAAAATTATAAGCAATGATTTCGACTTATTCAATGATTCCGTTTTTTAAGCGCTCGCCTAAGTTAAACGGAGTGCAAGCGCTGAAATCGGTAGTCGATCAATAGCAGCATATAGTGTAATGAATACTACCATGCCACCGAGCGCACACCTTATGCCACGGCATTGAACTCTCTTGCATGCTTTCCTTCGCGTATTGAGCTTTTGGCTGAAGATTCCCGAACTTTGAGACAGTCACTCTTTAGAAATGAGGTGGAACGGATGATGACCTGGAAAAAAAAGATGCTGAGAAGAAGATATTCACTCGTTCTACATTGACAAATATATAAATTTTATATTATTTTGACAGTAAATACCTTAAGTCAGGCTTGCATTGTTTCAATAATTGATTCAACCCAGTAGTATTAAAATCAATCAAAAATAATAGTTGATCCGACTGCCAAACTGATACTTGTAGATCCATAGCCTGCATTTTCATTCTATCGTCATATTACTGACTGCCGTTGGTAAATCAAGATTTTCGTTTTTTTTTTTCATGTATAAATGATGATGAATCTCAAAGTCTATTACTGGGCAACTCCTACGAGGGCGGGCGGAGACTTCCAGCTTCTCTTTTCAGGGTCCGCCTTATGTTCTGTGATGATTTAGGCCTGACCGCGGCTATAAAAAGCCACCAACCGCATCAATTGTGTCAGTGAGAGCCGAGTTCTTCCTTGGAAGCGTTGTCCAAAATTCGTACTGCGGCGGAGCCACGTGTCTTGAAATTGAAAATTCATTCTCTAGCCTCCTTTGCGACTCGTATCGACTTCGTATTTAAACAACCCCGTAAAAATGGCCGAATATTCCGATTTTGATGCGAATTACACTGATTGTGACGTGTTCGACGAAATTAAGGATCTTATTTCGTACATCGATTGTACGTATATATCTGCAAGCAGGAAAGAAATAAAAAACTTGATGAAACTGGTAAGTTATTTATATAACTTGATTAATTAAGCATTTAACATTGCTTGCTGTGATTGATAGCGATTCGATTTTGATCATGAAAAATTTTTGTAACTGAATGGCTCATTTTGGTCTACGTTGAATTTATTCACTAAATACAATATTTATTTTCATGGGTGTAATCAACTTTATTCCTGCAATTATAAATTTTTATTCTTTAGATAATCTGCGATGTGTCTGAGATTTTGCAATTCAATTATACACAAATGTTAGGCTGAATTCCCTGAAGTATTTCTCACGCTTATCAACTGTCGTTCTGTCGTTGGCAACAGAATTTGATGTTTTTCAGTACACAATAAGAAATGAATAATTAATTTTTTAACTATGGAATTTAATGTGATTTGTTAGGATGGAATTTGTCCGAAAATGGCATTAATAATTATTGGGTACGACCTGGATGTCCTTTGTTATCTGATGATTTTTCGAAAAAAAACATAAAGTTCGGAAGAATATTAATTTGAGTTGGCGTAAGCTTGTAAGCCTGGTCTGTATGTTACAACTGATGAAAACATAATATTTAAACATATAATTGGTGAAGAAAAATCGTATTTACATCTTTAAATCATGCACATAAGTTTTATCAGTATACATCAGAAGGGATGTTAAATATTGTGTTTTTGGCCGCAGGACTCCATGTCAATGCAGCAGCGCTATCCTGAACAAGTGTCCGTGAAGTGCTTCTGACAACTGAAGATAATATTGCAGGACATCTTGCACGGGAAAGGATACTCCACTCATTACCTGTTATCGTTAGTCAAAATCCTTGCCCTTTCTTTCGAAAACGCGGTCTTCAATTCGCCCGTCAATAAGCTCATGCCATGCATGTCATACCACCTCGTCGATTTTGTTACATGCATTAATTCGATTCTAGAGATGAGAGCTTTTCCTATCTTCGTGAGAGGGAACGCCGTAGATAACTCCACCGGCGTCCGTTATTTCTGCAACCTATTTAACTGTATATTGAAAACCCCGAACTTCATTCAACTCGTAAATCAGCAACCAGATGTCGGAATATTAGCTAAACGCAGCAAATTTCTGATGCAGCGACAAATCGCATCAGTTATATTCCCAATGATACTATCAGGCATCATGGACCACGTGCCATCCAGCATTCCGCTGACCACCAGTCCCGCGACGCTCAAGTTGCTCGTCTCGCCGAGTAGCAGCGACTGCGGCCTGTGTTTGGATCCCATCTCGGACGACACGGACTACGCCATGCTGACCTCCTGCAGCCACGTGTTCTGCATAAGCTGTGCTGAGGAATGGTTCACTAACAAGTGAGTTTGGTTTCGGAGATTTATTCGTTTCGTGCATATATTTTGATGTTGAAATTTCCAATGAAAAATTATTTTGCTGTTTAAATTTTCATTTCACATGAACATTTGAAATTTCATTTTAAATGGGGCATTCTTTACTTGCTTATAACTTAATTTTTAAAATTTCGGCTAATTAGAAAATTCAATCAGCATCCATTGTTTAAATCGTTCTCTAAGCTGTAATTTTCAGGATCACATTTGTCGGGATCATATCAACTGAATTTCAATTCCGTTTTTTTTTGCTTCTACAGTTCGTGCTGCCCGACGTGTCGAGTGAGCAAGAGCTACTGGTTGCCGAGGAAGCTGGTGCAGAGCTACCAACGATACAGAGAAGCTAACCCTGAGCTGCTGGTTATACAAGAAGAGATTCCTATTCACCTCCTCCAAGTCCTCTCGCCGCTGCTCAAAGTTAACTAGTCAGCTCCACGTCAGTCTGCTGCCAACAAGTCAAAGGATTTTGGCCGATCATATATTTGTGGGTAAACGATTGAAAAATACTTGCATTATTACCATAAGGAGACTATTTCGAAAAATTTTTAAACAGTTTTTTTTATTTGTGGAGTTTCATGAAATTTTTTTTAACTTGTTTTTTTTTTCTAAAATTTGTGGAAATTCATGAAAATTTTACCCAAGGTAGCGCTCAGCGAGACATTAAATTAGTTTCAGTATTCTCCCGTGCCACAGAAAATTAACAGACGAATGAACTGAGTTTTTAACGCAACTTTCCTTCTTTGCATCTAATAAAAAAACATGTGTTCATTTATAATTAAAAAATAATAAAAAATAATATGTATATCATGTGTTTCTTCTTCCACCCAAATAGACAAACAGAATTAGGCAGCTAATTAAATCTGTGGATTTTTGGGAAATGATGAAAAAATTTGAAACGTTTTGAAAACATTCGAAAGCCTGCATCCAAAAATCGACCCATCGACTGACTGCAGCAGAAGCTTTAATAAACGTTGGCTTGTTTTAGCAGTAGTGAAGAGTCTTACCAATTGCCTATAGATCCCTATTGTCTAACAAGTTCATATTTGCAATTTGAAATGTCTAGTTATGTTTCCGTAGAGACTTCTTTATTTTGCATCGGATTTTTTCAACCGCAAACAACTGTCCGAGACAACTACCAAGATGTCAAAGATTCGGAATTCGATCAGAATGTGAAACTCAGATAAATTTTATGTTGGTTACTTAAATTGGCAGCCAATTGTTAATTTAGTTCAAATTATTTAAATTATTAGCTAAATTTACCTCAAATGATATGATATAAAATGATATAATGCTTGCCAGTTTTAGAGCAGCTGTCTATTTTTACTTAAAGAAATTTTCAACTTCAATATTCGCTCTGACACTTCGATAATCACGCGCGGATCTGCGGTACTATCCGACACCAGATTACATCCAACTCACGGTAAAGTTGGAGGAAGTATGCAATTTCTATATATAACCGCAGTTAAATACATTTGAAACTGAATTTAACTCAATCTTAGGAATCGTTTGAAAGAGTTTGAGTTTAATTTTTAAAGTGATGGCTTGCCTATGTCATAAATATCGACTCGATTATAAATCTTTTCCTATGTGATAGCAAGTTATTATGCAAATAATATTGCGTAATTTTCTTACATTTTTCAGCCACCATCCACTACATTCCATCATGGTTCATCCCATAACTGCATGGTTAATCCCGCAAAACATTCCTATATGCATTAAAGCAAAATAATAATAAAATTATTAGTAAATTACTGTCGCTTCAATTCTAAAAGAACCATTAAAGTCATTCTGACACACCAAAAATTTCCACCTACCACCTGAAATAATTCATCATTATTGGTTTCATTACTGAAAGTAGATGAAAAACGATGAAAAATTACTTCAAAATGGAAACACTATTAAAATTCTCGCTTTCTACATGGAATGATTCGTAGTAAATGCTAAAGTTCATCTTTACCGTCATATAAATATCTAAATGAGAAGAAGTTTTAAAGACGACATAGAGATAAAAATTCAAAAGTGCTCAAAATACTCATTCAACCTGAATGAAATAATAGAAATTATTTTTGTTGAATATATTGGAAAAATCCTTGTTGTTTCCACACATTAGATGATGGGGATAATGGCCTCTGTACGTCTTCAGTGAATGTGTCAATTAAACCTTGCTCTATACTTGGCATGTGCGTATTGTTTCTATTTAATAAACCAGCAATTCAAGCAACCAAGTCAGTAGATATAGCGATCTATTTCGATTATATTATCAAGTGTAAGATGTACAGGGAGAACACAGCTCGATCCTTACATAATCCTGCCAATCCTGTGGGGTATCACATGACTCCATCAATCAGCGATTTTTAGACTTTAGCTATACGTACGTAGTTTTGGGACAATTATTTTTATCGGCATCGTTCAGCTTCGATATCTTTCACTGTTTTAATAATATTTTATTTTCATCGTTCATGATAGCGATACGTAAGTGTTGTTGAACCTATTATTTCTTCGGCATCGTTCACTTTTTTACTTCGTTGTCACTGTTATTCTACTTTTCATGTGTAAATTGGACTAAAAAAAGTATGGTAAATTTTTTCACGCTATTTCTCATCTTGAACTCATCGATGGTCTTGAAAACTCGATACAAATCTCGCCAAGTAATGTTTAGTGAGCCAACTTTTCCAGAGTTGTTATTTTTATTCTGCCGTTAATCATCACAGCTTCGTATATTTCGGCCTCCGACACACTAACTGATTGGTTTTCGTTCATTTTTAACACGATTTGAATCGATTAAATGAAGTATCATTAGAAACTGCATGTGCTTCAATATTCCGAGGCAGCGGTTTTGTGTTAATATATTAAGTCGCAAGTCTTCATTATGATGGCTTGTAATGTTGTGACTTCGTGGTTCTCTAAATACTGAAGGTTTGATATTATAATCACGGACGATCTTGCACACCAATGCGAGACTTCTGAATCTAATAATAATTTATTTAGAGTACAAATTCAAGTACGAAATTTATTAGGGATGCTGGCTTTCGTATTTTAATATAAATAAATATTCATTTTATTATTATATAATATTATATTCTTATTAACTTGATGCATGGACTTTTACAGTCCGTTGCCAGAGATGCAGAGTTTCCTGCGTAGGTCTGATTCAACACATCACGAACGTCATGTTAAGAAATACACGAGACAGACTGGATTCATGGAGTAAATTTACCAAATAATTGATTTTTATTCGTAAATTGAACATAGAAAAAATTTCAAGTCGAATCTATGCCATTGTATTTGGAAACAGTTCTAATAATTTCTAAGTTGAAGATGGACAAAAACAAAAAAATATTGCTCAATTTTTATTAATTTCACTTCTTGAATAAGTTTAAAAATTAGCTAGATTACAGTTCAACTGGAATGTGTATCGTCAACAGAAAAATGGTTATTATTTAGTATCCAGGAATTATTAAAAGCTAACTATCTATCTTGCTCAAAGCTTACTAGAATTAAACAAAATGACAAGGAATTACATGAAAGCTTTAAATTTGCTCAAAATTATACCGAGAATTAGTGAGTAGGGCTTCAGATTTAGAAGGCATTTGTAGCCTAATGATCTACTTAAATAATTTGACGTGTTACCTTTTCACTACTTGTTCTTGGCAAGCTCACCTAAAGGCGAAGGGTTATTGCAGGTTCTAAGGTTTAAGCAGGGATACAAGGATTGACTTGAGGTGCACCTGAACGTCAAAATTGACATCGAGCAGCCTATTGTTGGCATGTGCGTACAGCAGGTAACTCAGCACCAGCGACCTCGGCAGCCAGAAGCTCCTGCGCGCCCGACACATCGGGCAAGACAATCTGCAAGAACAAGACAAACATCAAAATCAAAACAGTTAAAATTATATAGAATACGGCAAAATTTATATTTAAATCAGATTTTTTCGACACACAGTAATTATAATTTTTACCTGAATTGGGCTATGGAAATCGAATTAAATATCAATGTAACAGACTTGAGGATCTATAAAACTTACGTTCTAGTGAACCATTCGTTAGCACATCTTATGCAGAACACGTGGCTGCAGGAGGTGAGCATGGCGTAGTCCGTATCATCCGTGATGACATCCAAACACATGCCACATTCGTTGCTACTCGGCGAGCAGACAACTTTGAGGGCTGCCGCACTTGATGAGAGAGGAAGGTCAGCTGAGACTTGGTCAGCGAGTCCTGATAGTATCACGGCGAATAGAACTGAAGCGACTTGTCTTTGTAATAGGAAGTGACCGCTTTGAGATAGTTTAGTGACTAATTCTGGATTACAATTGACTAATCCTCCGAACACTGGGGAGTATAATAATTGTTTGTATAAGGTGTTGAGAGTATGAACGCTTCTCAAATTACTCAAAACGTTGCCTCGGACGAAAATAGGCATAGCTCTCATCTCAAGAATGGAATTGATGCACACTACTAAATAAATGAGGTGTCCGTGCATGGTAGGCATGAGCGAGTGGTTCTTGGCTGTAGGATCTTCATCATCCGATGTTGGATTGTCGAATGCAAGCATAACGATTTGTTTTAAATTCAACAAGTAATCGCTAGAATATCCTCTTCCTTTCACGATGTCACGCAAAATTGTTCTTGCTTTCCAGAAGCACTTTGCGGGCACCATTTCAGGATGTTCTTGTTGCGTTGTCGCCACGTCCTAAGAGCGGAAAATACAAAAAGTAACATCAATTTTAATATTATAGCTCGCCTGATAAAATTTACGAAAATTAATAGATTTGTTGGGAGCTTTCCATTAAATGCAGTTCAAGTTTATATTAATTAAAGTTTTCAAATTTAATATAAAAAGGAGTAATTCCTATTGTAATTATGAACATCAGAACTGAAGTATTTATCATATACCTAGCGTACGTCAATTAGTTCAAAGAATTAATTGCGGCCAATTAAGCAAGACTGGTGGACAGAGTCTACAAGTAACATGGCTGTAAAGAATCAACAAGTAATATGGCTGTGGCTGCACCGGATATACTCCAGTATCTTTCATTTTCAAATGAAGATTTTTGTAACAAAAATAAAGAATCCCAGCAGAGTTCGCATAGAAATCAAAACCATTCTTTGGCTAGCAGAGCACATCTTATTGACATATATAGTCCAGTATCACATTTAATAGCATTTCCTATCAACCATCGTTCGTTTCAAATTCTGAACTAGAACATAATTAAATCCGTGGGAAGTACAATATATTTTTATCGCTTTATGCTATAAAATATTTATATGTAAGCATACAGGAATATTTGGTTTGATACAATAGATACAATACATTTCATAGGCATAAATAAATCAGACTGCGGTAGTGAATTAAAAATGAGGACCTTATATAATAAATTAACAATCGGAATAAGTTACAAACTATAGAAGAAATATAAATCACAAATCATAAGTAGAGTGAACGTAGTTTATATCGAAGCATACTACGATTAATAATCTGTACAATTAAAATTCATGCACAACACTTAGTTTTAGTTGACATATTCTATAATTCCAAATAACTTACCATTTTCATTATTTTTATTATTTCATCTCGGTTTGCATAGAAATAATCGAAATTAATATAAGTTATGAGTCTCTTGATGTCGTGATACACTTCAGACTCTGTGTGAGTCGCCGGGAAACTGGAATTTCTAGCCATTTGGACTTGGTTTCTTCGAACTTGAAGCACTTCCGAGTTACACTGAATGTTATGTCTGAAAATCTCCCGGAACTCACTGAACCGCTGAACGATTTTTGGACGGTCTTTCTAAAGGAAGAACTCGGATGCTACTGACAATATGCGGCGGTTGGTCGCTTTTATAGCCGCGGTCAGGCCTAAATCTTCACAGAAATTTGGGCGGACCCCGAGACGCGGGAACGGAAGTCTCCGCCCGCCCACTCCTTGGAGTTGGCAATTTAACACAGCCGAGATTGAGATTCATATTCTATTTAGTGAAGATCGTATTTTTATTTACTCCATAATTTTTCATAATTTAAACTAGAACAAAAATCAATATGATGATTATCTGCATCGTCATTACTTTTTTTGATACTTCGTTTTTGTATATTGGACATTTTACTGTATACTCATTAAAAATTTATACTGGTTTTTCAAACAATACCCATCGTGCTGCAGAGATCTGAAGCACTGCATCGTTGCATATTGCCTTCAGTCGAGGAGGAAAGATTATACAGAAGTAAGAAAATATTATACAACGCTCAATGATAATTTATTACTAGAGTCCGTAGGGTTAATTTTCATATATATGTACACTTGTTTTGAAATGATATTATTATTATTCAAGGCTTGCCATCTCAATAATCGAATAATCAACTTTGATAACATCGATTGATAACATCATGCACAGTCAGGTCTCCCTGCCCTTGCCCTCAGTCGTTATTACCGCAATAAATAAATAAGTACCTACTGTTTCTCCCACGTAGCAAATGTTACATTTGGTAGGGCTTGAGATAAGCCTTGAAATAGTTTGTTTGCAATTGTTAGCGCAATTTCTCATTTATGGAAAATATTTATATTTCTCATTTATGGAAAAATATAACTCAGTAGTCACTGCAGTGAGTGACAGAGAGCGCATTTTCTCGTCGACGAAAACTTGAGGTCACGGACGGACGGACGGACAGACAGACAGACGGACAAACATGGCGAGCACAATAGTGCATTTTTTCCATAAATGAGAAAATGCGCTAAAAAGGTGCTATTGTGCTCGTCATGTCCGTCTGTCCGTCCGTCTGTCCGTGACTTCACGTTTTCGTCGAAGAGAAAATGCGCTCTCTGTCACTCACTGCAGTGAGTACTGAGTTATATATTTTTTCTTTATTGATGACTGTACGCTGCGTTTTGTGTTGTAGTATTACCGCGCAAATAACTGATATAGTTTCAAATGGAGGTAGTTTTGTTGTAAATTAAAGTAGTGAAAATATGTACACTTATAATGATAGTTGAGAATGCACTTTGATAAGAAACTTCGGGGCTTAAAAAATATGAATTTATAATATCACTGCATTAAATAAGCAGGTACGTGCGCTTGACAAAAATGCAACTCATCATTCGGCAAAAACTCTACATAGATCTCGATCACGTTGTGAAGTCGAATAAACATATTGCAAGGTATAAAAGAATTATTGAGAGGCGATAATGTCAAGGTTGAAGGAGGTGGCAATTTGTTTCTTGAATCCTTGCTAATTTGTTTGAAGGGCGTGAAGAGACTGTATAGTATAGAAGTTGATCCTGATATGAAATTTAATCTAAGCCCAACGGAGAGCCCAACACTGTGTTCTAATTTAAAAAAGTTAAAATTTAGCAATTAGGGTATATTCGCAATAAGTGATCTTAATTGGTATTTAATATATATTCGCGTGCAATTTAATACTATTTTTCGCGTGTTCTTAATTGGTATTTAATTTAAGGATATGAATAAGCCTGAAATATGGGTCACCCCATCTCAAAAAGGTGACTATTTAGTTTACAGAGCAGAATCCACATCTTCTTATAGCTAGCTCGCAATTTGAAAAGATTTAAGTAGCAGATGAACGCCAAGCGACAAGTATATACATAATTAAAATTTAAGTTTAATTTTAGAAATTAGTCCGAAACTGGCAATCGCGACTCATATAAGCTGTTTATTCACCTTGCAACGTCCAGATTTTTTTCATTACCGGAACCTCTTATTAACTGGTTTAACTCCTACAGAAAAAATCGAGCTGCTCTAACTTCCTGTCTGGGAAAGGTCTTATGTTAAACTGTTTATGACGGCTATGCCCGATGTCATCGAGTCGAGTATATATAGTTCGGCGACCATATGATCGAGATGTTGACATGAGTGAAGGGAACATGTATTGCCTAAGGTTTCATGATGGAAGAAGATAAACATTCAGACATAACATATGCCGATCTTTATATTTATCATTTGACGAAAAGAAATAATTTTCGAGTTTATTAATAAATTGGGGCACTAAATTGATTAGCAAATTAATAATGGGTACCAGCATTCCATGATTCTCGGACGAGCTTTTCCCTAAATATTTATTGCATTAAGATTTCGCATAAATTTTTCCCGTATCTGCATTTATTTGAGTACTCCATTTGGGTGAAGTTCTTGAAATACAAGTTCAAGTAAACAAATTAAAATTATATAGATGAATAATGTGAAGTTTTATTTACTGTTCTATACATAGTTTACTGTACAGAGTGATTTGTCTTATAAAGTATAACTCTTCTTCATTTTATTTTACTAATTTCTCGAGCAGTTGATGGAGGTGCATGCGGATAACTATATCGACGGAGACCGAATTTTCGACATTTTTCACATCCCTGGCCTTTAACTCAGTCAATGCAGAAAAATTATTCTTAAATTAAAGTTATTGCCAGAAAATATTTGGAGCGTCTACCTCTTTATTCGGTTGCGGTTGAAAATAATGCATCATAATGAAATGTTTCATAACACAAATCACATTATTCAACTCGGAATCCAGTTAAGAAAGCATGGAATTCACTTTTCTCTGCAATTTACAGGCAGAATTAAAAAAAATTGTTGTCATAATAATTCTCATGAGCTTTTTTCGATTCTGCGTTTAGACATCCGCAGGTTTTTCAACAGTTTTTATATGCACAAATTTAGTTTTGAGAATAATCTAGAAGAAATGCGATCTTGCGTCACCACGGATACTTTGCAGTCTTATTGTTTTTTTTTTGTTCGTCGTCAAAAACTTGCACGGGTAACGTTAATAATGAAAAGTAATTGAATATAATAAAGATGAAAGACAAGGCCTTTCTATGATAATACTTGGAATGAATTAAGTTGCCGAGTTGAACAGCTTCATATATTATTTTCCAGTCAGGCTGTTCAGTTCGCGAAATAAAGAAAATTAAATCACTTATATTGATTGATTACATAAAACTCAGAACCAGTGAGTTGAAAGTGACCATGCTTATGATCAAGTCATGCTCATATTTTTGTGACCTTCCAGACAACGAGATTATCAGACCAACAATACTTGTTTTCCTTATCTAATTTATTTACTATTATTCTTGCATTAAAAATATTGTATGACTTCCGATATGGATCTTCTAGCATTCATTAATAAGTGACAAGCCGGTCTTTAGGACAAGTCGTTCTGAGACACAATTATTTTATTGTTATCAGTATAATGGCGTTTATACTTAAAGCTCAAGTATTTCTGCACTTACGGGTAGATTTTCACTTTCTGGTAGATATCCAAAACAGGACCATCACTTTGTCACGTCTCATATAAATTTTCAAAATTTGATTATTTATTAATGCTCATTTGCTCGAATACTTAATGAGGATTGTATTTTATTTCCATGGATAAGTCTAAAATAGACGGTCATTGCGACTCCCGAAAATGACCATTTAGTGTACAAAGGAACACTTACATTCCTTTTTAACTGGATTAACTTCTCTAAAAAAATTAAGCTGCCTTCACTTCCTGCCTGAGAAAGGCATTTGGGCAGAATTTCTGTGTCGGCTACCTGATTTCACTCACTATCTAGAGATTGGTTTATTGGTTTTCAGGTCTGCGGTTGGAAGGAGATAAAGA